CAGAGAGTTTAGAAATAGAGGGCCTTGAGTGCAAGGAAACACATTTAGCAAGATCGAAGAAAAATATCCTAGTAGAAAATGCTAGTAAATATTATATTATCTGAAAGAATGGCGTGCACCGTTACTTCCAAGGAAGAAATATAAGTATCCATAACGTCATATTGTTGACATATAAAAATTCAGCCCAAATCGAACGGCCCAAGGAATGAAGCTCAATTGGAGGATCCCCAAATCAGATAGCCCAAAGAACGAAGCTCAATCAAACAATTCAAGATGAAGGCCCAAATAGGGAGGCCCAAGAACGCGGTAACGCCATTGCCCAAGTTTGCAAGTCGCCCAGAATCTGAGCGAATGGAGTGCCATGCAGTCGCCCAGAGCTGTTACTCTATTCTCGCCCAAACTTTCAAGTCGCCCAAAGTCTTAACAAATATAAAGCGTTGTGGTTATCAAGAAGTGCAGTTATCAAAGCAGTTATTAAAGCAACCCTATCACGTTCCACGATTCAAGGAATTCAATCGAAAGCGGTTGAATGACGAAAAGTAATGGCAGCAGTTAAAAAATGCAGTTTTCATGACAAGTTGGCCATTACGAGAAAAGTGGGCAGTTGTAGAACGATCAAGCAGTTTTTAGGCGGTTGATCACAAAGAGATCGTCCATGAAGTATAGAAGGGAGAAAAGACATAGAGCAAAAGACCGAATCAAAAATTCTCGAACAGAGAACATGTAATTTTAATTTTCTTAACTTAGATTTAAACACTTTTTTTCAGTAACTCGTGTGCTTGCGCCCCTTGGAGGCATTTTGTTTTTGATTTCCAATTGTAAAGTCATCGCCAATAAAAGAACACCCCTTTTTGGGACTTTGTCTCAAGAGATTTGTCCTTGACACAATCGTCTGATCCCTTTTAATTGTTAGCGACTAACCCGCGCGAAACACATGTAATTATGTCGAGAGAAATCAATTGAGACTTTATTTGTCGTACTATAGATTATGGAATTTCGTTTTAGCTTGTGGAAGTCACCTTAGATTCTTTATTCCTTGTTAAATTCATAAGACAATTCTTATTTAGAAGATAAGGGAATAATGTGAAAAAATTCTTTCATTTGAGATAAGCATATTTCCTGTGTCTTACAATGTCTGCCTCAGGCTACGGCTGGTTTGAACACATTCAATCCATCACATCAAGAGTCCTTATCCTTAAGTAATCTACAAATTAGACTCAGAATAAAATAACTCACGTCTCTCATAGATTCCTCAATAAATTGATCAAAGTCCTATGCGAACATACAAAATGAGCTCGAACTGTCCATCGATCCAATTAAATGAGTTGATTCTGCGAGCAACACGGTCCATTTGCCACCCTAGAAGTTGGGAGAGGAGGGGTCTTTTTTATTCTGTTTACGGTGTGAGAATCTTGTGCTGTGAGGTCCCTCAAGGACCATCAAGAAATATGATTCTTGTTTGTGTTAATAGTCTTTTGATTTTTCACCCAAAAATGTTGGTATGCTAAAGAAATTTATCGTGTGCCATGCAAAACCCTTCGTTTTATTTGTAGAAATCATGAAAATTTTACGCCAAATCTAGTCTTACTTTATCCAATCAGAATTTAGGAATCAGAATTTGGAGATGTCTATAATAGCATCTTGGCATTCAATGCATTGGGGAAGAAGAAGGAAAATAGATCCTGCGAGCATCGTCTCAAGATTAATCAATTATTCTTAATTTATAGGTTAAGATTTTGAGATTGTCGATTCTAAGATAATATTTGGAAAATAATGTACCTTGTATGTGATATTTCACTACTAACAATGGTCTTAAATTGTAGCTAAATTCGATTATTTTAATTTACAGGATGACCATCTATTATCAAGGTTTGATTATTTCAATACTAACATAGAATGTACCTTGTATGTGATATTTCAATACTAACAATTGTCCTAATTTCAATTTTCAAACGTTATTTTTTTTAAGAATAGTGCTTGATAGGGGCAGTGGTGAATCCAACACCTGCTCGCGGCCGCTCTGCCAGATCCGCCAGCAGCCTTTTTTTTTTTGGTTGGCAATAGGTGAATTTTTTAGGTTATATATCTGATAATCATTTTACATTCAAATATTATTTCTGGCCAAGTTGGTTAGTGTTAGGGATGATAATTTGAACCGTTAAAATCAAAAATCGCGATTAACCGAACCGAATGGAGCGCAAAAAATCAAATCGATAGTGCAATGGGGTGGATATGTTATTTGATTTTAATGAACCGATTCGTGGCGGTGTGGGTATCATATTTATGCCGTCGAACCAAAACTGAACTGATTATCCGTTTAAAAATAATAATTCTTTTATTAGGGATGACAATGTTTAATGATGAGGAAGTTGATGAAGAGGTACATTTTTTTATTGAAATCTTAGTTAAAACTATCTGGATTATGTAGTATCATTATATTCTTTACTTACATTTCTTATTTACTATATATGAATCAATTTTGAGTGCTGACCTATACTAGTAAGAATTGTGGGGAAGAATGAAGATTGAATATGAGTTAAGGTTGAAACTTTTGAATTATTAAGCAAGAATCAAGTAACTACAATGCACAAGAATCAAGAATGAAGGAAAAGTTTAGTATTGTTATATTCATAATATTGTTTGTTAAATTGGTATTTTGCAATTGGAATTTGGGATAATGTTTGCATTTTCGTTTGGATTATTGTCTTTTTGTTTTCATTGACTCTCTTTTCTTAAATTGTTTTATATCATTTGACGGATGGACCTATAAAAAATAATTTATTTTCGTGGTTATTAATTGAATCGAGCCAAATCGAACCGAGATACGAACCGAACCGATTTACATGGTTATGATGCGGTTATGATATGGCAAAAAATTTGACATCACCGAACCGAACCGAAACCGAATCGTTGTCATCCCTAGTTGGTGTTGGTTTTTACATCTTGTAGGTCCCAGGTTCGATCCTTTGTAAATCAACTTTTATTGCTCAATTTTTTTAGTTTTACAATTTTTACCAAAATTTAAGCGAATGAGGAAGAGGGGATTCAAACCTGGAGCTATTGTTAGAATTATTAAAAGATTGACCATTATACCACTCGTTGAATTGTGACAATAGATTTAACTAATTTATATTTATTAGATCTTAGCTTGTTTTAATGCAACAATAAAGATTTAAACTTGTGCTCTTCTTTGGAATTATATAAAACTTGACAACAATGTTATTTGATGAGGATGATTTATTCTTTTAACAAAATTATATATGTTCAATTTCAATAAAATAATTGTTATGTTTAAATTTTAGGTCTTGTTTGATTCCCATTTATTTCAGAATATATTTTTTTCACTTTTATTTTCAACCATATCTTCTTCAATGAAATAATATTTCACGAAATTCAAAACTTTTCCTTATTTTTAATCACATATTTTTCATCAAATCACTATTTCCCAAAATGCAAAAATAAAAAAAAATCAAAAAATGAAATCAAACAAGCTCGTAATATTTTATTGGGTTGACGATCGGCGGTCAATGATCATCCGTGTTGACTCAAAATTCTGGATCCGCCACTGATAAGGGGGCCGCCAAATCTTTACCCATTTTTAAATCCCCATAGCCTAGGGCAGTTTAGGAACAATCAATATGTTAGGCCTTGTTTCATTGGCATCTTTTTCATAGAAAATTGAAAAAAAATTCTATTTTCCACATTTTGGTAGTGTTTGATAGTAAATATTTTTCATGGAATTCATTTGCTTGGCTTTATTGAAAAGTGGTCTTTTCTTGGTTTTCAAGTGGGAATTGGTTTTCTAGGTAGGCTGCCAATGTTTCTTTGGACAATGGAAACAAATTCTATCCATAATTGTTAAAAAAAAAAAAATCCTTTAATTGACAATTTTTCTATAAAACAAAGTCAAATGAACACCAAAAAATAGATAATTTTCTTGATTTTTTTAATTTTTTTTAATTTTTTAATTTTTTGCAATGGGAACAAATTCTATCCTCGATATCAATAAATTCTATCCCTTTTATTGACAATTTTCATGTAAAATAAAGCTAAACAACATCAAAAATACGTTTATTTCAATATTTTTCACGTGAAGAAGTATACCAATCAAACATAATAATTGACAGTTCACAATAAAATAATTTTTAGGCAATTCAATTCCCTAAAATTCATTTTCTTTCCTTTCAAATTCTTTCTTTGCAATGAAATGGACTCTTAATATAAAAGACAAGTTTTTCCTTGAAATCCTTTCCATTTTTTTGAATAAAATACTATTCCCCAAACCTTTCTGGAGAAAATTAAAATAACATTTTGTTTTTGAAAATTTTATCAACATTTTAACGGATTAGACTTCAATTTTAAATGTTTTACGGAATTCACATTTTTTTATCAATTTTCAACCACACATTACATCTATTTTTAACAAAAAGTTTGTCAAACAACCCCCTAACTGAATGGAAAGTGCCACATTAGTGGAAGAATTCCAACAAATTGTTTGACAGAAGAGTATGTGGTATTTTGTGATTGGATGAAAAATATGACTGTGTTTTAAACAATTTAATGATAGAACATCACGTGTCATTATATTAACCATTGTGTCAACTATTATTTCACTATGACATGATTTTAATTTATCAGAACGCCAAAATGAACAGGAGTAAGGTAGTCTCAATCTTGTGAGCAGTCGCAGTGTGAGGATTCGATTCTTGAGATATGAAATTGGACTCTTTGTGAGCACTAGTGTACGGGCAAACTCTTGTTCTCTGACCTGTTTGGACACATCCAGCGATTTACCTCCCTCACGATGCTCCAGAGGCGAGACGGTAGGACTCTTAAGGTTGGAGATCAACCTTTTTTTTCTTTTTTTTTAAAATAAAAAAATAACACCATCGAATCTTTTCGTACTTCCCAACTTACCATTTCTTTTCAGTTTACTCCCCATTGTACACGTATAAATATACAAAGATTTATAAATATATTTGAACCAACGTGGGGGAAAAATGGGCGAGGATTTGCAGTTGGGCTCAGTTTCTGAACCGAGAAAAATTTCAGATATTAATGCACAAGTGTCAAAAATCGATGGTTTTTCCAAGAAATCAGAGCTTGATATTCAAGTACAAGAATTGGAAGAAGAATTGAGAAAAATCGATGCTTTCAAACGTGAACTTCCTCTCTGCATGCACCTCTTAAAAGAAGGTATTATTATTTTTTCTTGAATTTTATGGTCTAATTTGTTCATTATTCATTTATGTGAGTGATTGAATTTTTTGGGTAGCAATTGAGAGATTGACAGAGGAAGGGTTGCAATGGAAGGGAGAAAAGGTGGGAGCAGTGATGGAGGAATTTATGCCAATGAAGAGTGATTTAGAAGAACATCAAGAAGCCAAAATCTCAAATGATTGGAGTGAAAAGAAGGATTGGATGAGTTCAATTCAGCTATGGAACACTCCTCTTCAGTTCGAGAGTCAATTTGATACCAGAAATCAAGAATCTGATTTGCACCCAAAATCAGTAAGATTTTTAAAATAATTTACTTCTTCTTTTCTCCTAAAAATTTTAGGCTATAGATTTTTAACAATTGCTAAGGGCCCGTTTGATTTGTGTTTTAGCTTTTAATTTTCTGTTTCGAAGGCCTGTTTTAAGAGTTTTTAAAAACGCGATCAATTTATCATTTTGAAAAATTATTTTTAAAATTAAAAACATGTTTGATTCGAAATTTTGGGGAACAAAAACTCGACATTTTCTTCAATGGAATTGATTATTCATTAAAAATGGAACAATTTTATGCTAATTTATTATCATGCTATATTATATTTTAAAACCGGTGAAGCTTACAATATTTTTTCTAGCTACATAGGTAAAATAAAAATAAATAGTAAATTGAGTTTAATATATATATAAAATAAAAATAAAAATTAATGTTGTGAATTGAGAATATTTTTATCTATTTGTTTTGCTCTTATTAAAATTATAATTCATTTCTCTCTATCTTTTCTTATTAACTATACATTTTTCAATAAAATAATATTACATGTAATCTCAAAATTTTTTCTTTATACTATATATTCTTCAAAAAAAATATTACAATCATTAAAATTTCAAATAATTGGGGGCCAAACGTGTATATGTATTCGCTTAAATATTTTTATTGAATTTTTATATAAATAATCATCAAGAGTTTGAACTATTTTTATTTAGTATTTTTTTTATAATTTTTTATAATTTAACAATTAATTTTAATCATATATTTCATGGAACCCACAACTTTTCAATTACATATTTCATCAACTTTTAACGAAATTTATTGAAAATTTGATTTTATCTCGACAAAACAAGGGTTTAAACAAAATTTTATTTAAACGCTTGTTCTCCTTGGAAAGGCTCAAAACATCAAAAATATTTTTTTAGTTCTATGTTATAAGTTTCTCCTTGTTTTCAAAATTTCATTTTCAGAAATACCATACCAAAACAAAGCATTTCACTGTCTGAAACCTGTAAACCGAATACACTCTTACCTTTTAAATGTGATTTTTGATGGCAGAGTTGCCAAGAAGAGACTGAGGTTTTGTGTAATTTAAACAGAGCAGGGGATTCTGTATCATTCAACAAACTAGTGAAGGAAGAGAAAGTATTTATCCCAGTTAGAGACCTTTCACCGTCAATTCCTGTGGCTAAAGTGGGATCACTTGATTTGAGTTCGAAACGTCATTTTGGTCATGGAAGGTCACAACCGCAGCAGAGAAAACAGAGGCGCTGTTGGTCTCCTGGTTTACATAAGAGTTTTGTCAATGCACTTCGTCAGCTTGGTGGAGAACATGGTGAGTGGCATTATCCTTTTGTCCTACGTTTGTTTGTTTGTGTTGGTGAGTTAAAAGTTGGACGACATTAAAGTAGAAAATGAGCTAAAATCTTGTTCATGTTACAGCAGCCACGCCAAAGCAGATAAGAGAACTTATGAAAGTGGATGGCCTTACCAATGATGAAATCAAAAGCCATTTACAGGTATACTACTAGTTGAGAAAAATAATATAAAATCATCCTGCTTCTTATGTATGGCAGTGGAATGATACGATTTTACATTTTTTTGTGTAATTCCAGAAATACAGGCTTCATATCAGAAAGGTTTCGACTTCATCAACCAGAGTGACGGATCTAGGTAGTGGCGAGTTAGGGCAGCCGCCCTAGCTGGATTCACCAGAACCATCGAGATCCTTTTTTTTTCTTTTTTTGTTGACAATAGATTAAAGTTTTAGGTTATATTGCTAGTATTCAATTTATTTTCAAGTCCATCTTGTAGCTCATTCGGTCAGAACTTGAATGTATATAATGCAGGTCCCGGGTTCGAATATTTTTAACAACAAACTTATTGTGCAATATGACACGACCCGTCCCGAATCATCCTAGTGGACTCGAAACATGACATACGTCGATGATAGATGTTGATTAGTTATCAAATCTATCACCGAAACTAAATATGAGTTATTTTAAAAAATGCAACAAAATCAAATGCTTATGTAAAACATAATGTGATGAACCCAAAATATTTACTTCGTGCTTCATCAATATGAGTTACAATATTCAACATGTCGTGTAGCTCTCATTTGGAAATCATTAGGCTCTTCCAACTAAAAAGAATCAATTTCCACCTGTAGGAAAATTACGGGAAAGTATATGAGTTGATAGCTCAGTGAGTGAAGAAGTTCTAAAATAATTATATTTTTATATTTTTATCGAAAATCGAGTTCATATTATTTAATAATTCACAAGATAATATCATGTAATTATAACCAAAAGTGAAATATTCACATAAGGTCGTAAAATATCATCTTAAAATCATGATATAAATATCGGCTGATAACCACGCTACAATCTCATCCATCAAACATACTGAAAAATCCACCAAAAATGTACCCTCTGACTAAAATATATAATCCGCCCCTCGGGCTAAGAACTTTCGCCACGGGCCTTTGGCCCCTCCGTGAACGAAAGTCGGTCTCAAAGACCTCTTATAATCAATTCTAGAACACGGTCAAGACTCCTCAGTGAACTATATGTACACGGTCGAGACACCTTCATCCCTGGTCCAAAACCCCTCAATGTAGTATAGAACATGGCCAAGGCCCCTCAGTGAACTCTATAATCACGGGTACTTTTCTGGTCGATCTCAAAATCATATCTCATATTCCAATTCACAATGTAACGTATATAATCTTTAAAATCTCACATGTATCATAATAAAAGGTATTTCCATAATAACCATGTAATTAGAACACATAATTACATATAATTGCACATACTTTAACAATAAATTTAATTTATATATACTTTAAAAAATATTTATTTTTTTCCACTCACAATACTATGTTCACAAAATCAACCCGGTTGGTAAGCTGTTCTGATATCAGTATCGTTGCCTGAAATACGATATAAATTTTAAATAAACAATTAATTATTTCAAATAATTTCAATAATTAAATAGGCGTACCCAAACTTAATCATTTCACGTTTAAGCAATTTCCACAGTCTTTTTAATCACTAAAACTAGTTTTTCTTTCACTTTACTCAATTTTATAGTTTATCATACTTAACCCCTTCAATAAAATTGAATTTAATCTAACAATCTAACAACTATAAAATCAAACATAACTTGAAAATAAGTAATTTTTTACTTACCTTTCAAAATTGAGGAATTCAAGCCTAATAATGTAGATAACTTATTTTCTAACAATATAGGTGAACTTTCCTATTTTATTTTTTTTCTTCCTCTTCTCATTTTTTTCTTTCTTTTTCTCCTCTTCCATCTCTCTTTCTCTCCATTCTCGACTTCTCTCACCTGTGTATTGTGAAAATGGGTTTTGATTTGTATGGAATTGGATTGATATAAAAGTCAATCAAATTCCACCGCCTAACCTTATATATATATGTGTGTGTGTGGGGAGGGGGATAGCATGATATGTTTGACTCTCTTTTATATATATATAGATATTTTATATTTAAGGTATTACACAATAATATTTAAATTCTACAAGTTTTGCGAAAATTTAATAGGAAACTTGACCGCTATGGCGTCCATTAAATATTGACAGTAAATTTGATAAAATAATATTTGTTAGATTCTATCTATCTGTTGTAATGCGAGTTCAATTGTAAATATTGGAATTCGTGCTCTTTCTTTATACAAAACTTGGCAACAATGTCATTTGTTGAGTTCGTTTATTCTTATAACATAATTACATATATTCAATTTGGACAATCTAATTATTAATATTTAAACTTTAGGCCTTATTTGATTCATATTTTTTTTTCAAATACATTTTTTTTATTTCTTATTTTCAACCACATATTCTTCAATAAAATAATATTGTATGCAGATTCAAAAAAAAAATTTATTTTTAGCCACACATTTTCAAATGTATTTTTTGTTTTTCGGCAAAAAATGGGTATTAAACGAACTCTTAATATTTTATTGCGGTCGACGGTAGATAATTAATGGTCGCCCGTGTTGACTCAAACTCCTAAATTCACTCCCTGCAACCAGTCCATCCAATTGCTCACGATTGATCAAATCGACCCAAACCAACTCAGCTTAGTTTGGTTTGGTTGACTTTTCAATTTTTATGCCCACCTCTACACATGACTGGTGTTAAATTAAGATTACTCCTTTGACGCAGACGTCCATGAAATGATAAATTCAATTAAGCATATAGATATCAGACTCGCTTCATTGTTTTTATCATTTAATACTACTCGAGGATCATCCATAATGCAGATAAATATCATTATTCATGTTAACCATTTGGTTTTTTTCATTACTATGCCTCTGCTTGACGAATAATAAGAGAAATAATAGTGAGTCCCACTAAGTATGTGGATAACAAATAAGTAGTAATTATGAATCCAAGTCGATTTTTGATTTTTAGTTGAGCTCAAAATCAATTCAATCCGAACAGTGCCTAGACCTTTTACTCGGGTCGAGTAAATTAAAATTTTAAAAAATGGGACTTTTAATCAATCCACATGATATCATTAGAGAATTCCCACCTCTTGACTTCATTTTGGAACTATTTTCAAAACTCCACCCATATTCGGTTCACAAGCATGTTATTAAGAGCATTTCCAATGTAAATATGAATTGCTTAAAAAAAATTACATGAGTAAAAACAATGTCAAAAAAATTATCTTCATTGAAATTGACTAGAAATTTGTTGACGAGAAACAAAAAAATAGACATTGCCTAGAGTCCATCTAAATGTGAAAGCTCGGTTAGACACAATGATTCAACAATTATTCAAGCGATGAAGGAAGTAAATTTAAAGAGAGGGTTAAGGTTCTAATTTTGTATTTAGAGTGTTAAATTATTTTCTCCTCTTCCCTTTAGTGAGCTCTTGTTTGAACCCCATTCGTTAAAACTTTTTTTTTCCTTCAAATATTTTCAACCACGTTCACTCAATAAAATAATTATGCATGTAAACCCAACATTTTTCCTTACATTTTAACCATATATTCTCCAAAAAAAAAATTTATTTTTACAAAATTTATTCTAAAAATGGGGCTCAAATTATTTTAATGTTGACAAAAGATACGTGTGGGATAGAAATATTAGATTGTAGTCGTAACATGAACTCATTCTTGATTTGTTTTGTTTAACCGTCCATTCAGGAGACATCAATATCCCCATAAATTACAAATCTATTTACTCGAATGTCACGTAGATTACAATTTATAGAATGTATTGAAGATGTTGTTGCATGTTGTTAATATTCTATTAAAAGCATGTTTGGCAAGTGTTTATAAATATTTATTTTATTTGTTTATAAACAAATAAAAATAAATGATGAAATGGTGAATAGTATCTATGAATTTCACGAAATACATAAATAAATATAAGCTAAAATACTCGTTTTATTGCAATTCCTTCTCCCCCAACGTTAAATTAGTTAACAATAAGATTAGACGACTTTGTCTCCCCGCTTAGTCAATCTTCTGAGCATATAACTCGACCTGTGTTTGGTTGGGTCCTATTTTTATATTATTTTGCGCACACACATATTGTGTTTATCCTAACTTACTCAAAATCAACAAGGAATATCCATCGTTGGCGTAAACAAAATTTTTTTAAACTCGTAAGTCAATATATACTTGGTTTTAATAAATTGTCAGCTTTCTAGTACAATAATTTAATTAAGGCTCCGTTTGATTGCACGAAATTTTCCATGGAACTTGGAATTCGAATTCCAACTTCCACTTTTGGCCTGTTTGATTGACAAAATTTTCCAGGGAATTGATTTTCCATGAATTTCTAGGTACAACACCTTAAAGCGTGATTTTCCACCTTTTTTTTTCCTAGGGGATAGGTGGTTTTTGGTTTTCCACCTTTTTTTATTTTTATTTTTTTTGCTTTTTTTATTTTTTTTAATTGTTGGCAATGGGAACAAATTTTAGGAATAATTGTAAAAGAGGATATCCCTGAAATTGACAATTTCCACTCAAAACAAAGTCAAACGAACATCAAAAAATACTTTTACTTCAACATTTTCCACGTGAAAAATTTATACAATCAAACACAATAATTTACAATTTCCATGAAAACAATTTCTAGGTAATTCAATTCCCTGGAATTCATTTTCTTTCCACCTAAATTCCATCTTCGCAATCAAACAGACCCTAATAGATCATCCAATTGAAGGGATCCAAGTCATGCTAGAATAATTATTCTAACTTAACAAGTCACCCATGCACATGCCAATCTTTACTATTGCTTAAATTCTTTTGGCTTTTATTGAATGTAAACATTATTGAAATAGTTAAATAATTCTCAGTTTCAAAATGTCATGGTCGACTATCCAATAATGTTATATAGTGATCCTACAAGTCTGATTTTAACATGAAATTTTTACCCAAAAAATGATAAAATAATATGACGCTCACGAAGCACATATTGTGTAGCTTGATCCACGAGTACAAAGGTTAAATTAGTCATTGGCATAGATCAAATTTTTTAGCCTGTAAAAATAAAGGTTAAATGATGACTTACCATTGACTAAGCTATAAGGTCTACACATGAGAGTTAAGTGAAGCAAAGGCTAAAGAATTTTAACAAACTACTCATTTGTGAATGTTGTTAATGTTTGGCAAGTGATTGTAAACCATTTCTTCATTTACCGGTTAAGAAGGATCAAATCAATTTTTATTCATATATTTAGTATGATTTACAAGTACATTGACTCGTATTCTATCTATTTATAAACAAGTAAAATGTTATAATCACTCTTTAAAATACTTTTACTTCATGATAACCAAGCAGGATTTATCGAGCCATTAATTTACAAATTTCTAAGTCATCAACAACTTGAGATTGAATCAACGTCTTTAGCTCCAAGTTAGCCCACACGCTTGTGGACATCAACAACACTAACCCGAAGGTGAGTTGTTCAGCCAGAACCGAACCCTTAACCCCGCACCAAATCTTTAACATTTGTGGCCTACGACAAATTTTGTCAATCTTTTTCCGCTTTTTAGGCAAAATTTATATAAAGCTAGTGATAAAAAAAGAAATATTGGAGTCGCATTCGACATTTCAATAAAAATATGAAAAAGAAAAGTCCTATCACATGCAAGTTAGAATATTATAAGGCAAAAATGCGTAATATGTCGGCCAGCCGGTGTAAGGAAGTATTAACCTGCACCAGCTGAATGTAAACAGAAAGAGAACACTATTGTTGAAATCAACGCTACTCCTACATTCGAAAATGTACCATCGAGTAAAAATTGTCTCCTTTAATCCCAAGAGCTAATAAAAGAAAAGAAAACTAACTAGGTTGCGACCCTCTCTCTCCCCCTCTATCCTTCCTCTCTCTTGTACGCCATGAATTTGCTGCAAACGCGTACAAATAAGAATAATTAGATATATAACAGGACTATAATTCTTCTGAGTTTTGCTATATTACCAAATTGATTTTATCAGAATTGTGCCATATTAACACTTGACAATATTTCATTGGTAGTTGTCCCAAAAAAAAATTTTCAGTTACCAATAAAATGTTGCCAAGTATTAATCTGACACAATTATGATAAAATCAATCTGATAAAATGGCATAACTCTAATTCTTCAATGCCCAATTAAGATGGAAAAAGGGGAAAGGATGCATGCATTTAAAGACAGTATCAAATTCACACATCAAAAAGAGCGCAACCTACATTTTGTTTTCACCTGGCCGGACAGCCTACATTGCGTTGCACATTGATATTGACACTACTACTGCATTAGTCTAGAATGGCTAACCAATACTAGACTTTATAGTGCCTTCCAAAATGCCCAGTACAAATTACTTTTGAATGCGCATTCAAGCATAACATACACGTATCATTTCAACCACCCAATCTTTTTTCTTGTTCTATGCACAGATTTTTGTCAATGTTTTCTATTTCGTAATCCTGCTAAAGAGGATTGTAGATTGAAACTCAACATAGGCAATGCAATAAAAGGATAACACAATTCTATTTTATGAAAGATATTACGACTTTAACTACACATTTCTTTGGGGGTATTTGGACAGGCAATGCAGTAAATGGAACAAATGCAACACACACACCTACTCCATCCTAAACTTAAAGGGAAAGATCTAGCTCTTGTTTGGTAAAGCTTTTCTAATTTTAAATTGGTCAAACTTCATATTTATCACACTTGGACCAGCAATTTATTTTAGGAAAAAGCCATAGGTATAGGGATGTTTCACGCAAGGGCGGATCCAAAAAAAAATTCAGAACGGGCTAATACCTATATAAAAAAAATATCGCACATAAAAAAAAATATTTTACTTAATTTTTTATTTTTTTTAATGGACATTTGGACTAGAGGAACAGGCTATAGCACAGCCCAACTCGTCTCTGGATCCGCCCATGATTTCACGAGAAAATTTTTCAAGAAAAGAGGTGGCTTCCTTGGATTGGATGAAGGAAAAGTATAGATTAAAGCAGACTAATGCAGTGTTAACACTTGATATCTAGTAAAAAATTCTATAAAACTTTGTGTACTTATAGCAAAACTGTTATTTTAATTTTCAACCAAACATTTAATGGGTCCCACCAAACATAATGATTTGTCAAACAGGGGGCTAATTTTTTGTTGTTTTGTATTTTTTAGGTGAGACACCACATGCACATCCATAACAACCAAAAAAAAAAAATAGTTAATTCCAAAATTCATATTCGTAGTGAAAGTTTGAAAACAAATTTGATGCATTTATTACTAGTACCAATTTCTGCTAAAGGAAGATGCTAGGCTAAAACTGGTTCATACACTGCTGCCAAATTGAAATGCAAAAACCAATGAGCGTCCTACATGAAAAGGGCAGTTAGGGTTAATAGGTAGAAGTTATGATTACTGAATGTGACATGTCTGGGCAGTGAAAAGACAATTTCTCATAACCAACCTCCTGCTGAGCCATACTACAGATAGTAAATTTTGCTTTCCACTGCACTCAGCAAGAATATAACCATATTCATGTTAAGAGAGACGATGCCAAATCTCCCCAGCATTAATGATACGGAGCAATCATCCATCACCACACAGACGTACAAGAACAAGAAAAGAAAACCCTCAAGTGCACGGACGCAAAACACGCTATACATAAGAATTTAGGGCATCTAAGCTATCCAGTACAAAACAATACAATAAAGATTTTAAACTATTTTTCTTCTTTGATTAATTGGAAATCTAACTTATGAAACATGGCATTAGTAGCTTCTCTTATGCTTAAACATGCTCTAGGGTCTTAGATGAGTGAAGAAAAGGTCACAGTATAAACGAAAACTGGGCGGAGGAATTACCAGGATCAAAAGTTTGTTGAAAGAATAAAGCTCAGAGGGCATTGAGCCTTTGATTTTGGAGAAGATGATTTTTGAATTAACATCAAGAATCAATACTCCTGCCCTCGTCGCTTCTGGCTCTCGGTGGCAGTGATGTTTGAAGTTGCTGTGTCTCATGATGGATTGTAGCATTCTGTTGCTGGAGTAAAAGCTCGTGTGGCAAAAGCTCGAGCTGGTGAGGGTGATGAGAATGTGAATGCTCCTCCGCCTGCTGCTGAATGTGATGGCCGTAAGGGTTGCCTTCGTAAGAACCCAAGGCCAGGGCAGGCGGCATGTCGGCTGCAGCAGTGGCCGGAATCATTTTATTATATCCTGTGGCGGTGACAGACCCTCTTGTAGTATCAAAACCACTGTTAAATCGCACTAAACCATTCTGCTGCTGGTGTTGCTGCAGTTCATAATTCCTAAACATCTCCTGCTCCCTGGCGGCCGCCACCACCGCTAACTGCTGTGCCTCAAGAATCTGTTGCTCTTGTGTCGGTGGCTGCTGCTGAGAGTCCCCAATCATCAGCGCACCATGTGGCAGTCCTGCCGGCACCCCCATCATTGACTGCATATTATACGGCATCACCTGAAACGCCGAGGCCCCAAAGTTCGGATGCTGATGCATGAATCCTGGGTGGTTAATTATTGGTAACATCGCAGAAGGCCCAATATAATGAGCCAATTCTTTTTTCGCATTATCCAAATCGAGCTGCACTTGCTTGAGCTTATGTTGCAGAATGGAAATAAGACCAACACAGCCATAAACCGGATCGCGAAGGCGATACTCCGCCTCGTAGGCTAAGGAATTTACGGCATCCTCGCGCTGGCTGGCGTTGAGTTCGTTGAGGAGCTTTGCAACATTACTGGCGCCAAAAACTTTATGGACATTGGTAAATTTCTGGGGGTTATCCGGCGGAAAATATGGCGCAAACACACACTCCTGCGTGCACTTTCGCCTGAGAAACTTGCATGCCGCACATGGAGAATTTGATGATGACATTTTCCTCTCCTTCACTACAACTGAACACATAATTAATCATACCAATCATCAATTATTTGAACTTTAATAAGCCTGCGAAATCTAAAATAAACACAAACTTTTGGAAGTGTTTTTTTACTGAGTCTGAGTATCCAAAAATAAAAATACTGGTGCAAGCAAATGTGAATTGTTTAATGCAACCGATTAAAGAAGAAGAATGTAGAAGCAATTAAATCTTAGCATATAGAAGCCCACATACGAAGTCAATAAATTCATGCTTAAAATCAAGGCAGTGGTTTTTATAAGGAAAGTCAAATTCAGAATAAGGAAAATTAAAAATAGAAAATCAGCAACGAATTAAAGAAAAAGCAAGTTAATATGAAAGAGAGAGAAACAAGAGAAAGTGATCGCCGGAATGTGTCTACGAGAAGTTTTTATCACTCTCTCTAAAACTTCATCAACTTGGAATGCAAGAAACTGAATGGTGTAGTGAAGAATTTTCTAGATCCAAAAGATTAAAAATAAAATCTGTGACCGGAAAATCTTTTGTTTACCATGAATTCAAACGTCAAAATATTTCCTTATCTTTAACCAACCCTCATTTCCCATCAAAACGAACAACAACAAAAAGGAAAAAAAAATGGACGAAAACAAAAATAGAAGGAAATGAATCTTGAAATTCTTACCTTCGATTTTGCTTAATA